CATTCCATCTGCCGACTGCGAATTAGTCCAGTTTATTCGAGTTCCACGATTAGAAGGACCTGTAGCCAAAACCTGTGCTAAACGGTTCCATGACGCACACGGAGGCAGTTTATTCTACGGGGTGAAATCATCATCATCGTGGAAGCTGGAATCATCAATCAGGGTGTGTAGGTGTGTGTCTCAATCGGCAGATTGGGATCCTAACTGGGTTACAAGTGAGGAGAACGGGAGTGGGGGAGGCGGGAGAGAATGTAAGCAGCGACGGTGACGACAATCGTTGGTGAGGTTAAGAACAATAGTAGGGTCAATCGAGTAACTGTTTGGGTGAACTCGGTTTCTGAGCAAGATGAAGGGGAAATGACAAAAATCGACGGATAATGACTGGTGAACTTTTGGATCAGCGTTCGTTAACTTTGGGGTCGAACAGACCAATCGCATGAAATATATTGTTCCTCAGGATTTGGATGCTGTTGATGTTGCCTTCTCCGAGATGAAAGTGTTGTTCGCTACGAAACGTCTCCAAACAACACCTCAAGCTTGGTGATCACACCAGCAACACATTAGTACGCCCTGCTTACATCTTTGGCTATACTTCTGTCTAGTTGAAATCTAGTTGTTTAAAATATCTTGAATAGGTGCAACTGAAGTGATGGAGAATTACCACATGAATGGAACAAACGCGATGCAAAATTATGCTACTTAGATGATCCCCACAATCATTTGGGTATAACAATGCCGAATGCTACTTCTGATGGTTTCCAAAGAGAAAGCACCGCTGACTCCCATCATGGATAACACAGAAATGAAATGCACATTATGAATCATCACATAGATTTCACCACCTCTTTGATGTAACCGTCATCTATCGGTATTGAACTGAAGTTAGCCAACACTCTCATGCAACAAACGGTCAGTTTGTGAAGTTGTTCAGTTGGGTCATAACACTGGAGGCTAATGCTGATATGAGTGAATGTGCTTTTCAATAAGTATTTTGTTGAAAAACAATCAACTGTATTTCCAAATGGTTAGTGGACCTCTAATACTCAACATGCAAACAGACAATGTAATTGGGCTTCAAGAGGATCACCCTAGGCTGTCGTCTAGAGTGAGTTTCGAACAGAAAGCATTTAGGGGGTCCAAATACAAACCGTCGCACGTGAAATCTATTTCGATTCCTCTGAGTTTTGTGCCATCGAACTCCAACGCATCACCAGTATAAAGATATAACTAACCCAATTTGACTCAAAGTCCGGTGAACACATGCGCTTGAATGATTTGTTCTATTGGCGAATCTTAAAGTCGCAAAATTTTCGTTATCCTTTATATTCCTTTTGATTGAGAGAACACAACCTCTTTGTTCCGTGATTTGGTGGAATGCGAATAATTTGTCGGCAACCGTTAGGCTTCTCCCAAAACGACTTATCTCAAAGGCTATTCCCAACTAGGTTCTTCCATGAAAATAACCACCCACGTTCATGTCAGAACGCTCATATGACTAAACTGAGACTAACGCAATCTATTATTTCGCTATAAACCTTTCCCAAAGCGGCTTTGCATCAGAACGGCGCCGAAATAGAAAAGACATACTCTGACATTAAAATCGTGTTTGTTCCACTGTAAAGGATAAGTGCATGGTAAACTGAGTAACAGTCCGAAATCCGGAATCACCCCAATGTTTTCCAAATCGTACATTAAATTTAATTTAGTTTTGTGAAAAGCCATTCACACAAGGATAATGTGTTCATGTAATTCGGCGAGAGGTTGCATGCGTCATCTGGAGCAGTCGTCGATGTGTATTAACCCTTCTAGAACAATCAACATAATCAAGTGCAGAACGGCAAACGGGCCGTTCTGGACGCAGAAATAAGCATAATACTGATCGCATTTAACAGAGCACCGAAAATCCATTGTAATGGTCACCGGGAGATGAAAAGCGGTACAGTGGCTACTGGTGATGTGTCCGAACAAGGAGGCGCAAGAGCATTTACGGTGCTTCACGTTGGCCTTTACGGACAACTCAAACAGAGTCGATCAATTTCTGATTGTCTATGTGAAATCTGGCCTGCAAATCTCGGTTCACGTTCGAATATATTTTATTTTTAGCTAGGCCATTGTAATAATTGGTAAACTATGACCATAAAACTCACGGTGTATTTTATTGTTAAATTGCTTATTAAACGTGATTATCCACAAAAGAGCTCTTAGTATTTTCCATTGTGAGTTAATAGTATCAATACCGTTTACCAAAACAAAGAAGAAAAATCTCGATTGCCTAATGGGTTTTTAATGGGAACTGTTCAATCGTTCACAGGATTTGAAACAACGATTGTGTTTTTGGTTCAGGCCGAGATATTTTAACTTGCATTGGCGTTCATTTGTTTACATGACTCATGCCGTTTGGTGGAATCCATCCAGTAGACAAAACTGCTCGCATGGTTGTATAACTCAATTGAAAGGTTGAAACAGATATACCTAACAGTCATCGGTGAACACGACGCGCTTCTGCTTCGATTGATTTCGAAAACTCTAGTTTATCACTTAACAAAATATGCCACACATTTTCAATTACGCAGCCTTTAACACATGACATTATTATGTGCAAATGTGTGCATTCGGAGGCCGTTGGACACAGTGTAACTATGCGAAAGCATTACCCAATAGATGCAGATTGAGCAACCGTTCGAATATTGACCAAGCCTTAGGTAGTCCCGTCAATAATGTTCTGCATGCAGATTATAGCAAGTCTGACATCAAAGGTTTTTAAAAGAAAATGATACCTGAACAGCACTACATGGAACTGTTGTCGTTTGGTATACTGCTACTTGTCGTGTGTTCTATTCGGATTTGATGAATAAAACATCAATTAATTGAATCAAACACCAAGTTACGAAATTATTCCCAATGCCGTTCATCCACGGTCGACAGCAATTGCGTACTCCAGGGAATGATGCCCNCTGGATAAAGAGATGAATGAAGCAAACACAATGCACATTTATTGCAAGCTAAATACACCATGATGCGGTGCTTTGATTCACGATCGATCGGAGTAAATTTTTAATTCAATGACTCACTGATCGCAAATAAAAAACAGTTTTAGATGAATAAATCTTATCAATAACTCATGATCATCTCATCACTGATTATATGGGGAGATAAAATTGAAGGGTTGTTTGGAGATCACTGAAATATGGGGATTAGTTCACTTTGCGTAAGCATGTGTGTTGCACACCGTATTCATAAATCTGCGCTTCCGCGGTTTTCATTCATGTCCCGTTGTTCGTCTGACTAAGGTGTGAGCTTTTACTGATTGAAAATGTGTGTGGGCACGTGGAGATGAGGTAGGTCCGGAACCCAAGGAAATTCGAGAACTTGAATTAGACGCGTTTATGCACATAGTTCAGGAGTCAAAATTGAATACATATGGCTTCCACTATGGCCAGTTAAGGGGATCCTAAGAAATAATTTTGATTGCTTCACATGGGTGAACACCATGGCAAGTGACTACCAAGTGTGCGAGAATGGTACCTTTGGAACCACATTGATTCCGCCAGCGCGGGTGTCCTTTCATGTGGACAGATAACTGCCCTAGATTCCAGGAGAGTTTTATACAGGCTTTTTACCTCCCCTGGGTTTGCGAAACGTATGCGTTCTTATCTGTTTGTTTTGTGCGCGTTTTATCGAGCACCTAATGATGCATTTTTGAAGAATTATGAGTCGTTCATTCAAAGTGCCGGGATAAAGTAAACGTGGTAAGTGAAAAAAATGTATGCGGTTCAAGTGCTGACCCGTCGACGAATAAGAAACTGTTAAGGTGGTTCTCAATGTTTCTGTTGCTCTGCATATACATCGTTCTACGTACCAAATTGTTCACTTACTTCCACTTCGGATTTTCAGATCAGGAAAATAGAAAGATATGGTGGTACACAATTGCATCCGAATGCTAGCTTTTAGAAATGTGCAAATCATGCTTATATTAGGGTTTTAGAAATACCTTTTGTTTTCATCCTCATTGAGGATGACGGATATAAATTGAATAATACAAACAATAATAATTTGTTCCTTTTCGTCACAGTACAAAGACATCATCAAATTACCAGCTGAACAATATTTGCTCTTATCAGATTTTCGCTCCCGTTTTCCATGAGCATTCCATCAGAGTGCCCCCAAACCGAATCCAACGTATGAAAAGCTCCGATGGTGTAGTGATAACAATAACAGCGCGACGAAAAAGCTCGTTTTCAGCTATTCGTAATCAGACGATTATTTACCGGTAAATATAACTGACATCAAGAACGAAGTGGCTCTGAAAACGTTGAGACCTCACGGTTAGGCTGTGCCCGCAGGATAGGGAAAAAAGGACTGTTTCTATTATTTATTATATATAACGTCTACATCTACCATTACACCATTGTCCTTCTCTCTGTAATTCGGGGATGTTTTGAAATGATGAACGATCTGCTTCGAATGACGGAATCGTATATTTTGTTTGTTGGTTTGAATTCACAGTTTAGTAGTGTCATCGGCCAAGGAAATGTTCGCATGATGCAGTCATACAGAAAAATCCAGGGTTGTTATTGGAAAAAAGTCATTGATAAATGAATAACAAAAAGGATATTCATGTGATTCACTCAATCTGGAACTCTTATTTCTTCTTTGGTTCTGGAATACGAAGAAATAAAAATACTTTCGATTAATCGCATTTATTATGATATATGTGATGTTAAATTCATGAAAAAGGCGTATAAGGCACTACTTTATATCGATTGTAGCCTACCATAGACCTCCATTTAACAAGTGTGCGATCAGTCCCAGCACTACTAGAATGCATGCAGGTTCTGTCTTGGACAAACCGTCTGAAATTGATCACAGTGTGAAACGTTAGTAAACAAAAGCTCCAATTAATGGAATTCATAAACGTTGGAGGTTACCAGCCACGTTTTTTTATCCAAAAAATTGAGTAAAGTTTGCATTATTTGATTTGAACCAAGTCGTTTCGCTGTTCAACACTTACCCAACATGTAATACACAGTTACGTCCATAGATCCACCACTGCCTGGAGTATCTCTGGCTTGCCTAATCAGATGACTATCAGCTTCAGGCTCCTTCTCCAATGCTTCTTCTGAATCCTTTTTTTGGTCTTCTTCTGTGCCCCCTTGTTGAGTTACTTTTTCTTCTTCTTCAGATGGGGTTTTAACTTCTTCGTTACCATTCGTGGTTTGTGATGTCGCTTCAGTTGAAGCTGCCGTTGGTTCATCAGTGCTCGCTGATGTGGTTATCGCACCGGATTCCGCACTCACATCAACGGTCGAGCTGGATGAGAAAGTAGTCGTTTTGCCAGTTGGACACAGCGTTTCTGATTTATCTTCACTGGCCACCTTCACACAATTGGTTCCACTCGTCGACTGAAATAGGATAAATATTACAGAGATCAATTGCCCAATGTCTCATTGTTCAATGACATGTATATGTTCAAAGGTTATTAATCACTTACATTAACAAAGACCTTCACTGATTTACCGGAGGTCGGTTTGACGCGGTACTGGCATCCACTGATACCGCCTTTCACAACAAAGCTGTTTGCATCACTAGATGCAGTAAGCTCTTCACAATTCTCAGCTGATGATCGGAAGCATGTTTCATTGAAAAGGCGTTACTTACCGACAATGCCACTAATACACACAGTGATTAACAGGAATTTCACGATATTGGATTTCATATTTCTTGACTCGCAATATGCCATGATCCGCCGGTTTTTATATTGCGTCCCGCATTCCTTCTCGATAAGATGCTGGTGCTAGATTACTATCTTTATTCTAGTTCACGTGATTGCGAAAACACTTCAACTCCAATATATCACACTGCGTTTCTGGATCTGCAAGTCTTAAAAATCAGGTGCAGATAACTATCTGTTTCCAGTAACTAAACTTCTGACGTCAAGATTGGCGCGAATCGTTCTACATCGAACATGTGTATTCCGTCAATAGGATTGATGCACAAGCAACAATGGGCTTCGAAGAAGCGATGTGTGACAACTCACTGATTTCACTCGAGCTCATAAAGTTCTGTTGCTCTAGACATTCCGATATATTCACGACTTGCGACAATTTCTTTTTGATTTTTTCAGAAATCAATCATATTTCTATCAAACAACCATTCGACTGAATAACGTTTATAGAGACGGGTCACATGATTCACCTGTTTCGTATTCTGCTAGGATACCGCAGAAAGTAGTTTGGGTAACAATTTAAACGACGCCTGTTTTGATACATCGAGTACTTATGTAATTCTGGAAGGTTTATCCTGGTCTAGTGGACAGGTTACAGCCTAAACCACACAGTGTGGCGGTCCGCAATCAGCGACGGACGGAAGTGAAAAATCGGTCTTTGAATCTTCGCTGTTTATCTCTACGAGACGCTCATTATCGATCGCGCATGCAGTGTTCCCCTGAATTGTTTCATTCGGTTAAACTTAGTGTTTTGCCATTCAATTGCAAGTGTTGTTGACTGTTTTTGAAGTGACGCAAAATGACGCACACATCATCTCATCTGAGTCACAATCGAAGTAGTTTACATATATCAATTAATTTCTTTATAAATGAAAAGCTGTATGACATCTGCAATTTTCCACCAAGAAACGGTTGGAATGCGAAAACATGAGAAAAATGATCTCTGTATAATTTTCCAAATGACACCACGATATTGAATCTGCGTAATTGTACAATATCAACACAGAACTTGAGTAGCTTCCGTGAAGTTCATTGTTTTCGTCAATTATTCAACTACTAATCTTGCCTCCAATATTACTTGCACATTTTGTAAGATGGTTCATTCAAAACTTATCAAATAGTCTTCCTGGATGCACTTTGAAATTCCAGTGCATCTTCCATTATGGTCTTCATTTTTGTAAACCATTCAGTTCAAAATGACGAGTACATACACGTCTGCACATTGCAGAATGGTGATAATTATGTTGCGTCCTGTGTTGTGGGGTTTTCACGTGGTTGCCGTTTGAAAGGCTTTTGTATTCAAACAGTGTTCATCTGCATTGACCTTCTAGTCTAACGTTAAAATATTGTTTAGTATTCGTTGGGCTAAATGACGATGTCTAATTGAATAATTACTCAGAAGGAACTTGTGAGTTCACTACAGGAACTATTCTATGATGAATACAATATTTTAATGCAAGCTAAAGTTCCGGTTTCGTAATTACTAAGGAGAACTAATGATAGATGTCTAACCGGTTTCAAGAGGATTCGAATTGTTCGGTTCTACGAAGTTGTTGAACTGTTGGTTCACCTTTCCAGACGCATCAGCTATTGCTCGCTTCACAACATCGAGTTAGAAATTATTCAGCTTCACACAGCTCAAAAAAGAAGGCCGTTGGAAACAAACACATTATTCGATGCTGTCTGTGGGTAGATCAATTACTTTCTGAATCTGTCGCAGTAACAACTGGCAAGTAGCCCGATGTGCTATTCGAAGGTTGACGCCTCTCTGCGGTTAGTATTTGACCCTAATGAGCATGAAGCTTTATTTCCGCTTGGAGCACATGCAAACGAATTAGGATCGGTCCAGTAGATTGAAAAGTTTGCTGAGTTATTTTAAAATACCTTTGCTGCACGTTTTGACACACGCCGACAGAAGCTTACTGACTCAATCGAACAACATTTTTCCCGCAATGAACTGAAAGAAGAATCCAGTAGGTGTGAGTTGAACGATTAGTATCCGGGAGTTTACTGTTGCATCTACTCCGATTCATTCTGCACATCACACACTATTCATGATGACCTTAAATTAACAAAAGTACCAGTGATAACTTCACAGCTGTCTCGGTTTTTACCAACGAGCTGGTAAGGTAAAAAGTGCCTCTTTTTGCTAACATCTATTAGACTCCCATCTTTGAATAGGGACTTCGTCTGCCAACGTGAATAAATGATATAGGATCAGGAGGACCGTAGTAGTTTTGATCGAATTGATGCGTTGCCTCAAACAAATCATGTGCAATGGAATATGCTGGTGTTTGTCTGATCGACGACATTTGACCTGTCTCACATTGATTAAACAATCCCATATTGAAGGTCATGTGAAATCGCTGTCCTACGATCTGCTAGAAATTTAGATTGAAAGATCAGAATGTATTGGGTTTGGGAAAACAAAGGTGAATTACGCATGTATTTTGGTTGACTACCACGGTTTGGTCACTCCGTGAACTTTAGTGTAGTTATTTCAAGGAACGTGTAGGTAACTTTATTTTTACAGGTCACGACGTTCTGGTTAGTGCAAAAAACATTAATTTACTGGGCCCTAAAAGTCAGTATGCCTTTCCGATAGGGAACCTTTTGGGAAACCATCAACCGTATACCCAAAATTATGGTTTGTGTCACCTGAATCTGTTTAATCGAAGGTTTTATTCATTGGAACCTTTAGAACTCAACATGCAAACACAAAACTGAATTGCGCAAACGGTTGACTACCAGTGGCCGTTTATTATTGTGAGTTTCAAAAGAATGCACACAAAAGCAAATTCATCGTGCTTCAACTGTGATTTCGTTTCCTTGATTTTCGTTCCATCGCACTCCGATACATTAGCATTATCAAGATATCCGTCACCGGGATTGATTCAAAGCCACGTATCTATACCTGTGAAGGCATGAGCCTGAACGATTACTTCAATTGGTGAATCTGAAATTGGAAAAAAATCCATTATCGTGCATTCCATTTACCAGTTATTTGCCGTTCGTTTTCTCCTGAATCCACATATACCACTGGCGATCCACCACTATGTTCTTCCATGAAACAAACCACTACATTTCGTTCACTAATGTTCATAGGAACACAATGAGATGGACAAAATTTATTATTTTGCTATAAAGCATTCCGGAAAGAGCTTTGCACCTGAACGAAGCTGAAAGCTGAAGGACATATTCTGACATCACAAATGATGCTTCTTTCACGTTGAAGAATAAAGGCGTTTTAAGCTGATTTTCGAGCAGAAATCATGGGTCATCCCAAAGTGTTCTAAATCATGCACTGAATTCAGTTGATTGTTCTGTGAAGCTATTCACGTAAGATTAGTGAGTTCACAAAATTCTGCAACAGTTTCCATGCGTCACGTGGGACAACCGGTCACACATGAACCGTTTTACAACGGTCAACATAATCAACTACAAAATAATGAGCGATAAAAAGAACTTCCAAGAGCCGCCAAACTGTGATGTTCATTAATCTGCATCTGTTCTATTACCATCCAGTAGAACCAACCAAGCAGTTTTTTAAGTGTCGAGACACTGGGTAGGATAGGTGAACACACAGGGTAATTATTGAATTATACGCCAAAATATGGTTGAGTCGTGGTCAACGAAGCGGTTGTGATTTGTGATCCCTTTTAGAGTGAACGCGAGGTTAGTGGAATGTAGATCAAACTCTTCGTTGATCATGCCTATAAGGTTTGCTTGGACCCATCAAATCAGAGAGGCGAATACAAG